TTTTAAAATAATCCCGAGACACTTAAATGATTGTCTCGGAGCTGGAACATAGCATTTACTGACTTAAAGTGGCTGGATAAGGTACGACTTCAAGTTTCCAGGTAAAACTGGACTATTAGTCTATATTGCAGACCTCTATTTTAACCCGGCTGAACAACTATTATACGTCGACCTTAATACATGAACATTGTCTTTAAATCGTGTACATTGACTCATGACTTTGTACTATATAGGGCTACTCCAGTAACAACTGGTCCCGCAAGTACAAAAGGAATAACTGATCTTGGACTTTGACAACTGTAGCTGAGAGTATCTAACTGGTAAGATACCTGACTTAACTGACTCTAAAAGTTGTCATTTCCTGAAACTTTACTGCTTCGGTCCCAGCTTCAAGCCTCCATGGTATACCCGGCTTAATGGCTCTTATTTCAAGCCTCCATGGTAACCCGGAATATTGACTCTTATACACTGGAAACCGTTACTTCTGATAATATTTTCATAAATATAACAACCTCTAGCATGAAAATTTAGCCTCGAACTTAATTTACTGATCTGAGTTAGGAAATCTGAGTCTATCCCCTGACCTTGGTCAAGGAATTTCTTGCTGGAATGTGTCAACTGAATGGAAGAATGGCAATTTCTGATAGAAATTATTTGAGAAACATGTCTGATAAGATTTGTACTACTTAATGGCTCACAAATCTCTTGACAAGTCGCTAAAATCAACCCGAGAAACTAGAGTCAAAATATCATATGACTGGGATAATCGACTATATTCTGAGAAAACTTTATCATTGACTCGAGCATCTTACTGGTTTCTAGGGTCATATGTCTGATACCCTTTACTGAGCATAGACTTAAGCATTTATTTAATTATATATAAACTGTAACTCAGCACTTACCTAGTAGTCGGCGAGGTGTGAGCGTAGCGTGGTCGGGTTTTCTGAAAACTTTCTAACTCACTGAAGTATTCAGATACACAAAACGTGCTCTGATACCATTTGTAACACACCGCTAGCTTACTAAAATCAGAGTGCGATTTTCGCAAATTCTTTTCTAAAATTTATACTTTAGTTTGCGAAATCCTGTCTCGGGATGCTACAGAAAGACCTTTTCTAAAAATCCGTTATCTTTATTAATTAACTATTATTTATGAAAAACGGATTAACTTTTATCAAGCGAGCGTGTAATGCTGTATAAACTCTGACCCGAAGGCTCAGATCGACATTTGAAAATTAACACGCTAGTTTGAAAGTCTGAAAACGTCAGCGGAAGTAAAACGTGGCAAATATTTACATATCACCAGTCTGCAAAAACATATATATATTTACATGTACTGCACCGACAACCACCAGCAGTGCTCACTCCTCCGGACCAACCCTGTCACCTGAAAAAAGATAATAATAGTGGGGGCGTGAGCACTAAAAGCCACTGTGCTCCGCAGAAACTCATACTGAATAAAACAGTAATAATAATTGCATCATCATGATCAAACACATGTATATCTGCTGCTATCTGTAACTGCTCATCAACAGTATAAACTGGACGTGTCTGCCGACTGTAATATACTCAGCCGGAACCATGTGCACACCCTAGTGGTCAGATCTAGCCACTAGAGCTCGGAGTGGAATTACGCAAAACTGGCCACCACTCTAAGCGGAGCTGATATATACATACCTCGCATGATAGCTGTAATTATACTCAATGAAATACTCTGTCTGAGTCCCCACCTGAACTGCTAGTCTGAAAGTGTAAGTGCTGCTGCTGATCAAACTGTAAAAATATATAAATAAACAAATACTAAGTACTATGCTCAGACTGACTGAAAATAGCTGTTAAGACGCTCGACTCGATCTAAATATTTAACTGGAATAATCTCGGGGTTTAACTTGACTGACAAGAAAACTGGACTGAACTGACTCAGGGGGAGTCGTCTACAGTTCCAACATCTGCGACCAAGTCTGCGTCCAAGTCCACTACCAAAACAGCCGAAGGAGAAAAGGAGGACACCGCAGCAACTCTGGTTGAAGTTCATTCTGATCATCCAACGCCTCCATCAAAGATTCCAGTACGCCGTTCCACTCGCCGTCGCGGCAAAGAATCCATCGATGAGCCCCCTGTCCCACCTGAACCTGAAGATGATGCGTATGACCTTGAGAACACCTTCACCAATCGATTCTATACAGAGGCTGCTCATGAACGCTTTGTCAGTTTTGGATCTTATGGGTTCTGGTCCGAACATCCTGTGGAAGACGGTAAGTTTGCTGATCTTGGTATTCTCCGTTTGATAGAGTCTGTCGGTCTGTCTAAAACTGTGTCTGATCTCCAGCCTTTCTGTGGCCAAGTTGTAAAAGAGTTCTATGCTAATCTCACCCCTGCAGTGTTTGATTCTGATAGCCCTCGTTTTCACAAGCTCTTTCTTCGAAATCGTGTGATTGATGTGTCTCCTGCCATGTTTAATGTTCATCTTGGTTTGCCCTCTGATCTTGATAACTCTTCCCTCACTGAGGTTGATTTGGATGCAATGACCAAAGTTCTTACTTCTGGTCAGTTAGACACATGGCCTGGTTCCAATCTGCCTGTGAGTTCTCTCTGTTTAGTTGCTAATCTGTTGCACAAAATTGGTGCTGGCAACTGGACCCCTACTTCGAACAAAACTTTGCTCACTGAGTTACAGAGTAAAGTCATCTATTGGGTCATGATTGGGAAGGTTTTCAGCTTTGGGGATCTTGTCTTTGAAATTCTTCAAACCTTTGTCACTAATATTGAATCTCACAAAACCCTTTATTTTCTTTGTCTTGTTTGGTCATTCTTGGTTGCCCACAATTTTTCTGTTAATCCCCGCTACCAAGACTCTCTCGAGAACCCAGGAAAAGCACTCTCTGTGAGTGCTCGCACACTGAATGAAAAAAGGACAACCAAGGTCACAAGGGAACTGGCTCCCTCCTTGGTCCCTAAAAACTGGGATGAGTTCGTGGCACAAAAACTTGGAGAGTGGGATGATTTGGCAAAGAAGGTAGCTGCTCAGCAGGCCTACCTTCGCCAAGTGCTGCAAGCAGTCAAGGGGTCGAAGCGTAAGAACACGGGGACGGGCCCTTCGGCATATCGTAGTTCGAAAAAGGGAGAGAAGGGTAGTGCTGATGCTGGCAAAGGTGATGAAGATTCTGACTATGGGGGAGATTCGACTGATGAGGCAATTGACAAATATGAAGTTGGAAAGTAGTTGTTTGTTTTTTAGTGCTGAGGGATGTAGGAATGTCTTTATGTATTAAAGAACCTCGTATTTTATTTATTGTTGTTATGTGGTGCTTGCTACTGATGGTGGTTGTGTTTTGATAAACTCTTGCTACTTATTTTGGTTGAATGGAAGTTGCTTTGATTTATTTTACTGTGTTTTGAGTGCTGCAGGAACTGAGGGGGAGAACTGTGCTTATACACAGTGACTATTTTTCTGTGTGAGAATATTTGGACTAACCCCTTGATGTGGTTTGTTATCTGGTGCTTGCTGTGTTTCACTTTTCAGGAATTCCTTAATTCTATTGTTTTCGAACTAGATGCCAAAGGGGAGATTGAAAGATATTTTATTTTGGCATTAGTTCGTTGGTTTGAACAAGCACCTAGAACCATAGAAAAAAGGGAAGATTTTTAATTATTTTATTTCCTTAATTAAGTTTATTTTATATTCCATGTATAAGATTGTGTGGATCTTATTATGGTATTTCATATTGTAGGAAATCGGACGTGAGAGAAACCAAGAAGGAAGAGACGTGCATGCATAGGAGATCAAGGAGAGAGAATTAAAGATTCACTTACCAAAGTTAAGCTACAATTTTGGAAGGAAATCATGCTTGGAGTCCTATGCCTTGTAGAAGACTCCAACCCTAAGGAGTTCATATAAATACCTTAGAAGAAACTCCTATTGCGGCTGCTGAAGTTTGAGAGATTTTTAGAGCAATAGTTGAGCTTCATATTTTCTGTTCTATTCAGTTGTACACTGTTCAGTTTGAGAGTTCTTACGCACTCAAGAACTGAAGCTGTTTTTTTGTTTAGTTTCTTTATTTCATCAAAACTATCTTTTGTTTTTCACATTTAGGGAGTAAGTGTAGGATCGTAAATAGTGTTGGCTAGACTAGAAGGGAGTTCGAGTCTTGTAAGTCCAAACTATGTCTTTATGCGATTTACAATGAAAGAGCTCTGAGGGGAAGTGAGACGCTTCTCTGAAGAGTTTTTAAATCTTCGGTCTTATTGCTTCCGCATTTTTATAATTTTTTTTCGTGTTCGTACTTAATTAACGCAATCCGTGAAAATATATGTTTCAACCACAGTAATTTGAGTGTCCCGCGCAAAATGCAACTGTCAGAGCTTCCCCTCGCCTGGGCTGTGTGTGGCACGCTTTTCCTCAATTTCTTTTGTTTTTGTTTTGTTTCATATCCTTAATGGGAAAGGGCCCCACCACTTCACTGTCTTCTTTTTACACGCATACGCACGGGTGCATATACATATATATATCAATTATAAAATATAATACTTTATACTCTCCATCAAAATAAAATTATTGGGAAATGCTACGGTCCCATTACGGTACCATCCCGTCGGATGTTTTAGCCGTTGGATCATCGATCTTATCTAACTACACGTAGATCTAACGGTTAAAACAACCGACGGGATGGTACCCTAACGGGACCGTAGCATCTCCCAAAATTATTATTTCATAATCACACATAAATAACTTTATAGTGCCATAAATTGAATACAGAAGTATATAAAATTAATTTATCACATACATATTATAATTATTCATCTTTCATCAGGAGTTTTGGCCATGTCGAATAATCTCCCTCATCCACCTGATTTCCTCTCTTCTCCAGCACTCACTCTCTCTCTTGTAAGCTCCAATTTTTATTTATTTTATTTTCTGTTTTTAAAAACTTTTGCATGTAATGTTGTAGGATAAATTAATAATGCTTTTTTGGTGTTAATTTGTTGGTAATTAATCTCAGGCGGGTATTTTCCGGGAGGAGGGAGGCGGAGGGGGGCTGAGGAAGGAGGCGGTGGAGATGAGCAGCGAGAACTCGGGGGCGGCGGGGAAGTCAAGGTCGGACGACGACTGCGAATTGTTGCCGGAAAATGGGGACGAGGTGTTGGAGGATGACGATGAGAACAACGACGGCGACCGGAAAAAGAAGAGGAAGAAGTATCACCGGCATACCGCCGAACAAATTAAAGAGATGGAAGCGTATGTATCTCTCGCTCTCTCTATATATATGTATATACGTATTCTATACATATGCGCGTATTTTTTTATACTCATACTGTGTGTGTATTTCGGTATGTGTGTGTGGGGGGTATTATTAATTTATTATTTGATAAGATAAGATATGTATTGCTGAGTACAGAACTATATATATCATGTGTGTGGCGTGCATGCTGTATATATAGTGTTGACGTTTTAAAATTAAAAAGAGAGAATCAAACTAAATGGGGGAAAAAATCAAATGAATATATGTAATAGGGCTTAATTTCATTAATTTTATTATTATTATTATTATTATTATTATTATTATTATTGTTATTATTATTATTATTATTATTTTTGTTTACCGTAGCATTACAATTTTTCTTTTTCTTTTTTTTTTTTATTTTATTTTTTTTATTTTTTTGATGATTTTAAGTTAATGTAGCAAGTATGATATGTGTTAACTTAGTATTTCATTTTTTTTTTAAAAAAAATTACCAATTTAGTGTGTCAAAATGAATTTTTTACCCATGACATTGGATGTAATATTAGGGAGATTTTATGCTCCCAGTACGAAACTAGCTATTTCATCGGGATTTATTATCGTTAGATTAACTATCTACGACCGTTACATAATCTAACGTTACAAATGTCGACTGGAATCGTTCCGGTTGCATTTGCCTATAATATAAGCGCGCAATTCGTAAAGTTGCAGAGAAAGTGGTTGATGTAAGACGCGACAACTGTAGGGGTAATAGGGGTGCAGCAGCAGCTTATAATTATTACAGTGCAAAGAGATTCCAAGCCAGCTGCTATTAATGCCATATCTTTTGGCATCTTCTTAATTGATGTGCATAAAGTTAACTTATCCCTGCACCCTTACTGCATACTATGGTACATCTCACTCAGCTTTTCAAAGTATTTAAATCTTGACCCAAATATATTCTCTTGTTAATACACTATGAATCATAAATTTATACTATATTTTATTTTAAAATAGTGTATAACCCAATCATCTACTTTATTAATTAGATAATTTGATTTGATTTTTTGCAGCTTTTTTTCCTCATAATTACTATTAACAGTTACAATGTGTTGCAATTAATGTGCAGGCTGTTTAATAATAATGTGCAGGCTGTTTAATAATAATGTGCAATTAAAGTCGGAGATTAATAATGTGCAGGCTGTTTAAAGAGTCTCCTCATCCGGATGAGAAGCAAAGGCTACAGCTGAGCAAGCAATTGGGCCTTCACCCTAGGCAGGTTAAATTTTGGTTTCAAAATCGTCGGACCCAAATCAAGGTAAACAACTAACGGCCCAATTGGATTTTTTTTTTTTTGGTTAAATCGTTTCATAAAATGTGAGATAAAAAGTTAAAAAATAAAAAATAATAAAAAACATGAGATATTTGAGATTGCAAATGGATAATGGATAAAAATACAATGATTATAGGAGACGTGATATAAAAATCTCATAAAAAAGTGAGATGAAAAGTGCTTTTTTTTTTAAATAGATAAATTTGGAATTGTAACTAAATAATCGATTGCTAAAATCATGGTAATCTAAAATATATTAAAATATTAACTAGTATAACATTTGTGTACTACATAGGTATTGAATTAAATAATATTTACATCAAAATATTTAAAGATGAACATAACAATTTTATTTTAATTTTTTGAACATCATTGCCATTATATTTTCGTGATGCATAATCTCCTCACCCACTCAAATAAAAAAATGGTATAAATGGTTCATTTTATACATGGTAGTATAAAAATATTGAGATGCGTGAATAAAATTATTTATAGCAGTAAATAAATAATTCATTTCAATAGAAAGCTTTGTCATAGACACACGGGAATGTTGGCTGACAAAAAGAAGCAAAATATATACAATTTACTCTGTATTGTAAACTTAAATTTTAGTTTCTATACAATTTCATTTTGTCCAGTAAATGGATTTGTCATACTCGAGAATTAAATTTCATGTATACAAATTATTTTGATTAATAAACTTACGTCTCATCCTGTATACATGAGAGACATTAATTCATTTTCTATATTTAAGAGAAAATTTATTTTCAGCCCCAGTCGTATTAATATTGATTAATAACAAATTTATGGAGGCAATAAATTTATGGTATTGAAATATCCTCCCTATATATTATTCCCGAATGCATGAGCCTACGTGGTTGTTTCTGGTGCTTCGGAATCCTACTTGGCAAAGAATCATGCTTCGTAATTAGGTTTGGACAAATAATATTGATATATTAATAATTAATAATTTAGTTTTGGACATTGCAAAAATATTATTTAGCTAACTTAGATATTTTAATATCACTTGTACTAATATAACTTTTTATTTCTTTGTAATTTTACATACTGAGGCACTAAGTGACTAATATATCACTGACTTTTGATTTGTTTCCTTCAATTAACTATTGAATTATAAATGTATTTTAAAAGTTGATAACTTGTGTATTTGTTATCGGTTTTGCATATATAATATATCAAATTAATAATCTTTTGATGATCTTCGATTTGACATCTATATTGTATATATAAAATACATAAATTAAATTTATCTTTATAATAATAAAAAATAATAATATTTATTAAAATTTATTAGAAAAATAAAATTATTTTTCAATTGATATATTTATATTAATATAGTTATATGTTTTAAGTTAAAAATATTATTATAATATAACACATGTAAGTCGCACAAATAAAAAATGTCATACTAAATATATAATAATATATTTATTTTTATAAAAGGTATTTAAATTTTCAACTACTTTTTAATTAATTTTAGATTTTAAGAAAAAAATTAGCAAATACCCGTGTAATACACGGGCGTTGTGCTAGTAGTTTTATAAGGTAAGATGAAATAATTATTTATGGTTGATTCAAAGCCAATTAGATTTCCAAAGTTTTTATCCGAATCTAAGTACAAAGCAATATATTTTGACACGTATGATTTTAAAGTGTGCGAGTCTGTCACTTAATCAACACATTTTGAATTAATATATAAGGTATTAATAAGATTGATATTTATATACATTTGTGGATGAATATTTAGTGACATTATAATACAAAAGTTAGAATTTAATAATAATAAATTTAGTAATAATATTTTGTTGAATTATTTTTTTGTTTTGTTCCAAGTTTCAATGAATACTCGCTGAACGAATAAAAATGACATTTTTTTTTTTTAAACCCAATAGCAACGGAAATAATTATAGCTATTATGATCATAATTTCAAGAAGAGTGCAACATATTTTAGAAGAGTGCAACATAGAAGAGCAATTAGCAAACTAAATTTGGTGTTAGGAAACATAGAAGCGTGCAACATATTTTAGAATTGCTACCCAACAAAATGATAATCTAGATTTATACTTTATTATCCTAAAATTTGTTTTGATGTCCCATGGATTATTATCTTAATCTTGAAATTTACTTTTGTTTTCTTAAAATGATAATAATATCACGTGCTTAACAAAATATGCAGGCGGTACAAGAGCGCCATGAAAACTCTCTACTCAAGAGTGAAATCGATAAACTTCGGGCCGAAAATAAGGCGTTGAGGGACGCCGTGAAAAACTCATCGTGTCCCAACTGTGGATTTGGCTCATCTACCAACGACGCCGTTTCAAGCACCCATGACCAAAAACTAAGAATTGAAAATGCTAGACTCAAAGCAGAGGTTAGCATAATAATAATAATAATAATAATAATAATAATAATATTAATAATAATAATAATGTTTGGTCTCATACTCTGTTAGTCTTTTAGGGAGTAAGGTGTATTATTGTAATTATAATGAGTTGAGTTTGAGCATTTCGAGCTTGTGTTCGGTTATGTTCAAATATTGTTCGCATTTACTCGTTTATTAGTAAAATAAAAATTAGTGTTTGAACTCGTTCGTTTATCTATTTGTCAATGTTTGAGTTTGAATAATTTAGTATATAAATAACTTTTAAATATGTTTGATTAACTCGATTTCAGTTTGTTCGAAATCGTTTACTGCTCGAAAAAAAAATTAAAATAAAAAATATATTTGTTATTGTATAGTTTTCTATTAAAATGTTGATGTCTAAAAATGAACAACAATGTGTTCGTACTGCACACTGTGATGTGTACTCTGTTCGGGTTGCACGAATAGTGTTTATGTGTGTAATTCGGTCTTACTTATTGGTCCGAATGCTCAAGCTATCCGTGACTTATAGAGTAATTAATGAGAGCATTTACTCATTGCATTAAATGATGTCCTCTCCTCCCTTATATAGGAAGTTTAGGGACTTTTACATTTCCCTCTTGGCGATTTTTGCATTTCTTTTTACAAGATATTCTTGGATATTAGTCATTCCATATTAAATGCTAATTGTAATTGGCAATCTAATTCTACTATCAGAGATCCGTCCGGATCAAGCCACGTGCCCTGGCTTTTCCCTCGCCGTCAGATGGAAGATTAGGGGATATCTTTGCATTTAATGCGCGTTGTACGGTCGATTTGGACAATCATTAAGATAGATTCAGCTTGCCTACGTACGTCCATCCGGTGAGCGGCCCGTCGTGATCGCATCCGGTTCGTCCTCCCACGTGCGTACCCATTTGTCACGTGATTTCCCTTGTCACCATCCGTTCGGTCTAGACCCCATACAAAGGCCCCCAGGTTCGGATGACACGGGTGAGCACTTATCCTCACGTGTCATTCGGAGCTGTTGTTCGGAACGGAATCGGCATGCCATCGGATGGGCAACCGGCGTGATTGGACCGAATGGGCAAAATAATGATTAAATGGAACGTGTCCTTTCGTGAAAAGGCGTGCCCCCTCCTCTGCTACTGGCGACACGTCGCTTTTTTATTGGTTGGCGTAGCATTAATGCTATTTGAAACGCTTCATCTTATCATCATTCATATTAATTTCAAAATTTTCTTTGTACCCTCTCGTCTTCAAATCCCCAAACTATAAATAGCAAAGTTCTTTGATTCACTGAAAATTTTCTTACCCTTACTATTCTCTGTGCCTCCTCTTGTCTGGATAACTTCTCCATCCATCCATTTATCGCGCAGGTTTTGAATTTTGGTAAGAGTTCTTACTTTCCTTTTCTGTGATCTTCCACTTTCTTTCTATTTCTTCGTTTCCTTGTTGCCATGTCGGCTTCGCCTAAGAGCTATAACGAGGAATAATACGAAGAGGCCCTGTTAGGGGACACTAGTGGTCGCTTTCGTCTACCTCTTCCCAAGGAGGGCCCAATCCAGGATCTCGCGACCGAACGGTCCATTACCTCAGTTCCGCAGGGTTATTGGCGTCGTCCTTATCGCGAGTGGACATCTTCTAGCTTATTTGGTTTGGCACAACTTTCGAGTGACATGACCGACGACAAAATCGTGAAACTTCGTACCTCGATCCGACTTCCGAGGGAGATCCGCATGTTCGCTCCCTATCGGAGAGAGCGCATTCACTGCCCTCCCCCAGGCTATGTGGGGGTATTCGAACGTTTCGTCGCATTCGGCCTCATATTCCCTCTCCCCCGCGTCCTAACCGAATACCTACGAGATTGGGGGTTGGATTCAGTCAGGTGTCCCCGACTGCTTGGTTGAAAATTATCAGCCTGTTGGTGTTGTTCAGTCAGAGGGGTTGGGAAACACCGACTTGTGACGACATCCGGGCTCTTTTCTTGATAAAAGAGACTCGCAAGAAATATGGACAGTTCTCCGTCTCCGTTCGGGACGCGCGGTTCAAGGATCTGATCACTAAAGTCCCTGAGACTTTGAGCAAATTTAAGAACTCATGGTTCTGGGTGGGGCGCGATTGGCAGACGCCTCGTTCGTCCGAAGATTCTGGGGCATCCGAATTTTTGACCGTCCCAACTAGATTTGTTTCACAAATTTGTGAGTTTCAATTCTTAATCTTCTGATCATTCGCCCTGATGGATGTTATTTTTTTTGTTCGTACTAACAGGACGAGCTCGTTGTTTCAGTTAATTCGTACTAACAGGACGAGCTCGTTGTTTCAGCCAACCACAAGTTCGTTCCGGAGTTGAGAGAATCGTTCGTCAATCAACTTGCGGAGCTTCTGAAATTGGACGAGTCCGAACGAGCCGGGCCGAGCCTCGTGGAAGATTCCAACCTTTTTAGTGTCGGATTGTGTTCAAGAATTGTTGAAGCCTCGAGTTTTCCGAGTAAGTTTGCCTATTGTATTTCAGTCATACGCCGTGCACCCCTGTCGTATTTAGAATAATTCGTTGATTGCGACCTTTCAAGACTTTTTCAGCTTTTTATCCGTTAGAGAATCTTCAAGGGGCGGCTACAGACGCAGGGACGAAGAGACGGCCACAAAGTCAAAGGGAAAGAAAGTTGCGTCTTACTCTAAACAAAAGGAATCGGAATCGAGCAGAGAGATGGACCGTTTGGCTATGATTGAAAAAATGAGGGCAGCCCAGAAGCAGGCTTTGAAGGAAATGGACATCAGTCGAGAGGTTGACGTCATCGATTCGTCTGCTGAAGAGGAAGAACACCAACTGCTGAGTTCCCGCGCGAGTAGCCGCAAAAGAACGAATGAGATTGACGATGACCCGCACCCGAAGAGGTTGGCTTCGATCGTTGTCCGAGAGCAGGGATCCACCGTTGGGCCAGATGATCGAATCGGGGAGAGTGTCTTCTCAAGAGAAAGGAACGCACCAATCCACTAAGATGGGTCGGATACCTACCTTCGAATCGACTCGGCGAGGGTGGCGCGGGCCGAACGTCTGAAAGGGATTGCCGATGATTGGTTCATTCGGTTCAAATCAGTCGGCAATTCGCATGTTCCGAACCTAGAAAACTCGCCGCCGCACGTACTTGATTCGACCATGGTCCCATTGTTGGGGTGGGACTCGCCCATTGAACAAGTTGCTCAAAACCTCTCCCCGATCGAGAAACTGGAGCATTCCGCCGGTAACCTTGGTCGCGCGTTGGGTATGCAGGCGGTGGCGATGGCTGAACTCTGCAAGATAAGTGCTGAACTTGCCCAATTGACGACCAAACACGCTGTGTGTAGGGACAAGATTCACCACGCTGCAGGACGATGTTAAACGAGCTGAGGTGTTAAAGATCAAAATTGCTGAGTTGGAGGGTGAACTGAAAGTTGTCCGACTGGAGGAGGCCCTTCTGTTGGGACAGATTAAAGAACTGACCGAACGCCTGAATGACGCCGAGCGGGCCCTTCTCGAGGCCGAACAAAAACTGTCTGCTGCCGATGCTGAGCGTGAGAAGCTTGAGGACGAATTGGCAGAGGCATCCAAGGCCCAAGATCTGTATAACGAAAGTTATGAAAAGGGTTGTCTGGCGGGATTGGACGAATACAAGAAAACAGAGAAGTTCCTAGCTGAAATGGATTTGAATGCCGCCCTCGGGCTGAATTGGGTGGTCCATGCGATGAAGGAGGGTGGCAAGAGCTTGAGCGACCTGGAAGCCATCAGAGATATAAAATTCGAACGGCTGGCCCTTCTTGAGGGGATGAAAATAGCTGCAGTGGTTGATGACGATGAAAGAACTTATGACAGTCGCCGGATGACCACTGCCCCTTCTAAGTCCGCGACGGACACCACCGGGGCCAGACTGAGTCGACAGCCGTTCGGCCATGTTGAAGGGACGGACGAAAGTGAAGGACGTGTTGGACTCGGACGGCCGCTGTCCGCCTGATCTCTTGCTGCTTTATTATTTTTTTTTAAGTATGAATGTTGATCGCTCTTTGTTCGAACGATTGTCTGTTTTTCTCCCTTTATGGATGTTGGTTATTAGCTTAGACCCGGGGATGGTTTATTCCCTGTAGGGTCGCGGCTTTTCACTAATTTTCGACTTTGTTTGTTTGGATGATTTTATTTTGAATGGCTTCTATTTCCCTTTATGTCCATGAATTGGGTTGCTTTTCAACTTGCACTTGTTGTTCTTCTTTCTCCGTGTTTTCTTTCTAATGTTAGTGCAATCTTATTTTTCTTGAGATGAGATGATTTTGGACCGGATATCCTTGGGTTATCCGATAGTTTACCCTTTCTGAGATCCGTTTAATTTTGTCCGAACGACCTTAAATGGTTCGGTTGTTACCCTGTTCGGGGGCTATTTTATTTTCGACCGGACGACCTTAAGTGGTCCGATTGTTACCCTACATGGGGTCATTTAGTTTTTGACTGGACGACCTTAAGTGGTCCGATACCGGACGACCTTAAGTGGTCCGGTTGTTACCCTACTTGAGATCATTTAGTTTTTGACCTGATGACCTTAAGTGGTCCGGTTGTTACCCTACTTGGGGTCATTTTATTTTTGACCGGACGACCTTAAGTGGTCCGGTTGTTACCCTACTTGGGGTCATTTTATTTTTGACCGGACGACCTTAAGTGGTCCGGTTGTTACCCTACTTGAGGTCATTTTATTTTCACAAAAGTAGAACAATTTATTGATAATATTTTTTCAAGTACACCGTGTTCCAAGGATACATTAGTGGTGTTTCATCTAAGTATTTCAATCGATAGGCCCAATTCTTGAGCACGACGTCGCCTTGATTCGGTCCTTCCCATTTAAGTTTTAGGGGGGCCGGATCCGGCCCCGTTACTCTTTTTAACACGAGATCACCCGGTTGGTAGAGCTGTGACTTGACCCTCGTGTTGAAGTGTCTTTCGGTTACTCTTCTATTAGATCTAAACTCGTCCGCAATCCCTCGCT